GGTCTCCCTATGATTTGTAATAACACAAAACAGGGTTTCCACATAGATATTAAAAAGCAAGGGCAAAAGTGCACATCATTATCTAATTCTTCCAAATAGAGGGAATATAGGAGAAAACACACCATAAATATCTTAATTCATTCTATGAATTCCAAAGGAAATCCAAATATTTTTAGTGCAGCAAACATGTATTTTTGTGAATTTTGTCAAAGGTTTTTTCAGCATCTCATAAGATTACAAGATCCTTATTTTTATGTTTATTCAAATCTATTAGACCTTAAACTAATTTGACTGCTGGTTGTCTAGTTTAAAAACCCTATTTGATTGTTCTTAATAACAAATGAAATGACTTGCTGTCATACTAATGCTGTTGTTAAAATCTTTGTATCAACATTAATCAATGAAATTTAATGATAATCAGCACACTGGATATGCTTTTATCTGCTTTTCATATAAATCTATTATAAGTGTGATTAAATGACACTCATAAAGTTGCCTTTTCAAATAAATATTCATAGAATCTTGACATATTTGGGGCATCAAAAGATCTATATATGTTTTATACCACTCAATAAGGAATCTGTTTAATCTTGGTATTTTACTACTTGCCATTTAAAAAGTTATTTGGATAGTGGAACAAATAAAAATGGACTTGTATTTCATCTAAATGTGGTATATTAATTTTATTTTAAAAGCCTCTGTATCATTCATTCAGTAATTCTCTGGTTTACTATATAATTCTGAATAAAATTGAAAAAAATGAGAGTTTATATCCAGTGAAATTTTATAGATTTAATTTCTTTCACTTGTAATAATTGGAATCATCACCCAATCTTCCTTTTGGTTTAAAGGATTGACCAAGATCTCACCATTCTCCCAATAGCTCTATCATAAACATGTTACTATAATTTTTTTCTGCTGTTGTAGTAAGTTTATGTTTATTTTTCTCAATTTTTTTGTACAAAACTATAGAGAGACAACTAACCATCTCTGCTGAAAAAAGTTTCAATTCATCTTTCAAATTATTTTCTTTTTGATTTTTAATCAAAAAGATATCAGATGTGTTATTGTGATCCATGCCCTGCTGGTTTTATAGGTGTCAATTACATACAAACACTGGGGTTTTGGACTTAGACTTAGATGGTCAGTTTACCATGTTGTAAAATTGACTGAAATAGTTTTGTTAGGTAAGCTCCCCGTTGGGAAAGTGAGTATGTTCAGCGAAGCGTTGTGAGAGTTGTGTTGGAGAACACACAAACCAGCATACAGAGACACTGCAGTTTAAATAGGCTTTTACTTTTGTGGAAATAGAGGTATCAGAGTCCATCAAACAGTCCAAGTCATACACGGATAACACAGTCATCAATGTCTTTCAGTTAAGGGATAATCCAAATAACATAGTCCAGTATCATATAATCAGTCCGGTACACAAAGTTTGCTAGCAGTTGCAAAACTTACAATAGTTCACGGCACTTCCAGCTTCCAAAAACACTCAGATCAGATCAGCCCAGCATCTAACGAAACAAAGAGCTAACAGTTGTTCTGACTCCCTCTTATGGCCGATTGGGGAAAACAGCAGCCAATCACATTTTACAGTATGATTTAAAGAAACAGGTACAACATTGTTACATGTTTATATATTGCCAACCCAACTGTTAGATTATTCCTAACAAGTTTAACTGAGAGTAATTAAACAAAACCGAAGTACATGCTGCACTTTATCAATTAATTAGACATAGACGTTATATCAGTTTCATCCACCTCAGTGCCAATTAAACAAGGAATTTTACATTTGAATTACATGGAAATGCAGATTCCATTGAAACTTTGTCTTACAATTGGTTGACTTTGACACATTCTTCTGTCTATTCAAACCTTATTGTCAGAGTACAACATGTGTACAATGAGATTGGCTGAGCCTCCCTGTCTGTAGTATATTATACATTTACATCAGGGAAACATTTTCAGACATAATTTTATTTTTTTGATTAATAAAAAACAATTATTCTTCTTTTGGATCTGTGAAAAAACACATTGTCCTTTAAAAAAAATTGTTTTGGGTGCCTTAGCAATTTCCGCTCTTTTCTCACCTGCTCAAAATACTATCAAGCAGTCAATATCATTTTCCACAGAGAAATGCGAATATGGCTCTCTTTTTTAAATATGAAGGAAGCACTGTCTATTCTATTTTTATTTTAGCAATGTTATCTTGTCTAGTATTCTGCTAAATGCATGTTTCACTTCCCTGTTCCGCAGACTGTAGATGAGTGGATTAAGTGAGGAGATGATGAGAGTATAAAAGACTGATACAATTTTGTCTTTATTCAATGAGAAATTGGAGCCAGGTCCTACATACATGAAGATAATGGTTCCAAAGAAAATAGTCACAGTGGTCAGATGGGAAGCACAGGTGGAGAAGGCTTTGTATCTTCCCTGGGCAGAGCTGATCTTCAGGATGGCAATAACAATGGCAATGTAAGAGATCAAAACAGTCAGAAA